GGCTTATTTTCCTTGGGCCTCCCCAGCATTCTATGCTTAGCTCTCATCTCATTCTGTCACTGACCAGGGTTCTTGGCCTTCCTTAATCAATAGAAATTGATAAGAGGCCAGACAAGAAATTCAGGCAAGGCCTTACTGGGGTCCCTGCTACAGCAGGGAGGAGCAAAAACAAGTAACAAGTTCCCTTGCTCGCTCCCTGAGGTGGGGCCAGCTGGTTCTTTATATAGGGTGAGGGTAGGAGTGGGCCCAGAGATGGGCCAAAAGGGTGGCTTAGGTGGTATGTCCACCCCTTTGGTGGTGTTGTGTTCGGGGGGAATGCTTTTGCTCTTGACACCCTGCTTTTGCTCCCAGGTCTTCAGAAGTAGCAGTTGGGTTTTTGGTCTTTTTGTATCTCATTGTCCATAATTTGCCCCAACTGCACATTCACGCAGTTAATTTTAGTCCCTTATAGTTTCTTTGTATTTTGTTGCTTGAGGAGACATGTGTCTAGGTGCAAGCACTGCAGCAAAGGGTCCCGGGTCCTGGGTCCCAGCCTGTCTCAATACTACACAATAGACATGGGCAATCTCATATATTGGCAGTATTTTCCTTCTAACAATAGCATGGTGACTTTGAAATCTCTACTTCTGATCCAGGTTGTTCTTATGGCCTCTATCAGATCCTCATAGTCAATTGCCTATTGAATACCTCCATATGGATAGTCCACAGACTTGTCAAATTCAACATGTGTGAAGATGAATTGGTCATCTTTCCCCCAAGTCTCTACTCCTCCATTCCCTTTCTTAGTGAATGGTCATCACTCCTATCTACCTAAGCCAGAAACTAAGGGGTAATATTTGACTATTCTTCATCCATGTCTCCCTCACACCCAAACAATTATCAATTTTTATCTATCGAACCTCAAATATATTTCCATATATCGATTTTGTCCTCTCAATTTTTTTGCCTGCCAGACTCAATTCAAAAGGATCTTAGTTTTCCTTTCTTTATTCTTGCCTTCCTCTAATCTGTTCTCTTCATACTTCCACCAGATTAATTGTTCTCCAATGAAAATTTTCTTATGTCACTACCCAGCCTAAAATCCTTTAAGGGTTCCATTGCCTTCATGATTAAAAGTAAGGTCCCTGAGCTGACTATCAGGTCCTATGTGGCCATATCTCATCTGCCTGTCCAGTCTCATTTTTTTACATTCCCTCCCTCTTGCCATCTCAAGCTTCAGTCAACTACAGTATTTCTTGTCCCCAGAAATTGACATGTTCTTTTACCTCTTTGCCTTAACCCTGGAACATTCTGTCTCCCCTCCTTGTCTAAACTCCTCACCTCAGAAGGCTGAGGTCAGGATCTGTTTGCTCTTATCTACCTCTGAATTTGTTACCCCTCCTGCATATTCCCATAGCCCTCTCCAGTCACCTCCCTCATGGCACGTTATCACCTATGGAAGTGGTATATTTATGTGCCTGTCACCCTCACCAAATAGTGAATTCCTCAAGAGAAGAAACCCACTCTTATTTATTTTTTCACCTATAGCTGGAAAAGTACCTACATGCAGGGACCAGTGACTATTTTTGGAAAAAAATTTACAGAGAGCATAGGAAAGGGGAGTGGTGAAAGTACAAAGAGATTTGACTACTGACTGTGCTATAAACTCAACACAAAGCTTGTTGCAAGGAATTGCTTCTATTTCCTTATCCAGAGAGGTTATTTGTAATAGCAATAGAGACATATCTACTCCCTTGAGAATAAGGACCCACAATAAAGTCTTTGAAAAACCTACAGGTGTCTGAATCGCCAAGCACTAGGCGTTGCCATTTATATAGGCAAAGAACACCATTAGATGTAATTCTGGGGAATTTATCTTAAGTTGTTCCTTGTTTAGGACAAATTTGTGCATGTATCAATACTTTTGCTTTATCCATAACAATTTTGAAAAATATCCTCAAATGATTGGATAAAGGGGGCAAGACATAAAGTAGAGCTCTTTATTTGGGAAATGTTGAATGAGCAATGTAGGGGGATAGAGAATGATGAAACAAAGAAGCCAAAAAAGAGATAAATGAAAAATAATCATGAAAACATCACATATAAAAACCCAAATAATCTGAAACATTAGTCAGATCTTTTCCTTATACCAGAGGAACTGGGGAGGCATAAACCAATATTTTCTTCAATTAATTTCTCCAGTATGCATGTAATTCCAGAATGATAAATGAGTTCTATGTTTTGATAAGTGGTGAGAAATGATGGGGACTGACATTGCCCAGAAAGTGGTACAGATAAAATTGTTGGGCCCTAGATAGTGGGGACTTGGGGCACAGATCATTGACATGTGGTGTATTACTAGTTAATTGAAACTCCAAGGAGTCAAAAATCATGATTCCTAATATCCTATATTATCATGAAAATACATATGCATATGAATAAGTATGGTTGTTTCAAACATAATTCAAATATAAATAAATAATCTCAAAAACAATCCCACAAAGTCATATGTGTGGAACTGGGACTCAACTTCTGTTTAATAAGTTACACATTTTAACCTCCTTTAATCTTTACTCTTAGAGAAGGTCATTGACTTGCTTAACATCACACAAGGAGCAAAGTGGTGAATCTGGGATATGAACCCAGATCTTTTAATTCCACATCTAAAGTTTTTACTAGAACTCCACAACCTTCTTAAAATCTCTAGGGAAAAATCCTCCCCCCCACCAAAATCCTGTTCTGAAAATAGAATAATATCCTATCACTTTAAATAAAATAGTTTCTTTTAAAATAGAATAGCACACACAGATAATAATAGTACCAGAAATTTAACACTCACTACCATACACACATTTCCTCTACTCTAGAAAAAAAATCAGCCATTTTAATTATCTATGTTTTCTTCTATTCTCTGTCAATGTGAATACATAATTTAATAAGAATATAGTTTCTTAAATAAAGTTTAGATAACATAAGTGATTTAGATATATCAATTCAAATATATTTTTAAATACTATAAGCACATGTTTTAACAGATTTCTTCAGAAAATTTTTCCTTAACTTTTATGATAATACTAGAAATAAAAGGAACACTTACAGTTTGTTGAAATGCAATACATTTTCCAGGTTAAAATTATATATTAAGTATCAGTGATATGCCAGATACTTTTTCTTATATCAATATATAAAGCATTTGTATTTTTGTAGCAAAATTAGCTTCTTAAGATGTCAGAAATATCCATTTTATTTACGAATATACTTTTTTTTTGCAGTACGTGGGCCTCTCACTGTTGCGGCCTCTCCCATTGTGGAGCACAGGCTCTGGACACACAGGCTCAGCAGCCATGGCTCACGGGCCCAGCCACTCTGTGTCACGTGGGAACGAATATACTTTTGATGTACAGGGATATTCTCCCCCTCTTCTTAATAACACATTTATCACAATAATAGGAGGAACTTCTGTTACCAGGTCCAAGATTGTTCTGCCAGCCACATGACAGGCCAATAAATTGGGAGACAAGGCTTTGGGGCAAGGAATTAATGGCTTTATTTGGAAAGCAAGGAGTCTGAGAAGATGGCAGACTAATGTCCTAGAGAACCACCTTGTTGCTGGGGTCTAGATGCTAGTTTATTTTATAGAACAAAGAGAGGGGAGGTGAGGAGGTAAAGTAAAAAGGCCATAAGTTGTTGCAAATATTTCCTGATTTCAGCCAGACTCTGGGAAGGTATGTGTTAATTTCTTCTTTCCTGCAACCATTTGACAGGTGGGCTGCATCAGGATGTTGTGAGCAGAACAAAGGTATTTTGGTTTAACATTCAGGCATGGGGGCAGGGTTCTGGATATGGACCATTATGTATACTTTCAGCTATTGGCAGCATCCCTTTAGTGATTAACTTGTAGCAAAAGCAGTAGAATACAAAGGTTAAAGTAAAAGAAACAGATCTAATATGGAGTCAGATTTCTTATTCCCCATTATACTTCTAAAGAGTTTTTTTATCTGAGAAAGTCAAAGAACTTTCAGACTATAGGCTATTATGCCTAAATACATTTAGTGGGGACAAACTAGGAGTAAAACTAGGAGTAAAAAGTTCCCTAAAATGATGATTTTAGAGAAAGTGAGCTATCCTCTATCCTCTGCAGCTGAGCCACTGATGAAACAAACCCAAGCAAATTGCTCATCAAAACCCCACTTTATAGTCATTAGCTGTAAAGTGGTAGTCACAGTAGTTTCCAGGAAGAATTTATTTAGGAATTAAGTTTTCATCAAGACCAGCTGTAGGATTTAACATGTAGAACTACTGACATCACATTTGCTGCCTGGTTTGAGAATTTGAGGATTATGCTCTGGATACAAGAAATTCCAGGATTATGGCGAATTTTTTTCCAATTTATCATGACTCTTCTTTTATATTTATTTATTTATTTATTTATTTGGCTGTGTTGGGTCTTAGTTGCAGCACACGGGATCTTCATCGCAGCATGCAGAATCTTTCATTGTGGTATGCAGCCTCTCTCGAGTTGTGGTGCTTGGGCTCTAGAGCACACAGAATCAGTAGTTGAAGTGTAAGGGCTTAGTTGCCCAGTGGCATGAGGGATCTTAGTTCCCCAATCAGGGATCGAACTCATGTCCCCTGCATTGGAAGGTGGATTCTTAAACACTGGACCACCAGGGAAGTCCCTATCATGGCTCTTTCAGGCTGTCTTTTAGCAACTTGAAGATCTAGGCAAAAGAGTCCATTTTCTTCTTTAAGCAAATTAGAAAACATTAAAAACCGTTGAAGGATCTAAGAGGCTATTTAGTTCAATATATTATGTTAAGGGGAGGAGACTGAGGCCCAGAGAGTTTAAGAGCTGGGCCCAGCTGCAGATCCTGGATCAGATGCCAGCCTCCCAAGGTCCTATTCACTTCTCTTTTCATTAAGGTGGGACCAAGAACGGTGCCTGAATATCTATTATGAAAACAACGAACAAAAATGATTTTTTCATTTTCACCCCTTTATTTTCCTTCTCCTTTCTGCAGCTCCGTTTTGTTGAAGATCTTCAGACAATTCAAATGTTCAAGATTTTAAGATATGAAAAGAAACTGGCCAAAATGTGCTTTTTCATGATATTCACCTTTCTGATCTTTTGGATGCCTTATATTGTGATTTTTTTTTTTTAGTGTTTAATGGTTATGGACACCTGTTCACTCCTACAATAATATCTACTGTTTGATATCTCTTTGCTAAATCAAGCACTGCGTATAATCCAGTTATCTATATCTTCATGAACAGAAAGGTAAGCTTTGTAATTAACTGATCGTTTTCACCATGTTGGTGGGATTGTTGGAAAATATAATACTTTTATAGAGGTTATTTATAGCAGCTTCAATGATAAAAACCTAAATCAAGCATTTTATAGGAAAGTAGAGGGTTCAAGAAGAAATGTAGAATATTCCAAGAGAATATAACAATTCTAAGACCTACCGATGGAGGTTTGCACTTGTTAGGTAAAATTCTATTAAAATCAGTATTTAATACATCAGAAAATATTTTATGTTTAGTAATAATAACTACGATCAAAGTTAATAATTTATTTAAAATTCTTACTGCACTATGCAGATTGTATCAATTATCTTTACAAAACTCCATGAAATAGGCACTAATAGTATCTTATTTATGGATTATGAGATAGGTTCAGAGAAGTTAAAGAACTTGTTTGCTTCAGGACGTGTTGGTGCCTGGATTTGAACCTGGTTTGCTGCTGTATATTTTCACCAACTGAATTGTAACCTTGATCCAAAAAGAAAAAAAGAAAACTTAACCTAATTAAAGGAACATTAGTGAGTACACCAAGCTGTAAACTCTACCAGGAAGGGCTTTATCTGTCTCTGCTGCCCACAATACCCCCAGATTGTAGCACAAATTGCCTCACCTCATAGGGGCTCATTGAATACTTATGGAATGAATTAATGTTCAAAATCCCTTAAGGAAACACATCTAGCTGCCTTCATGGAAGATTCATGCAACTTGAATCTATGGCTAGTATAAGGTGTTGAAAGAGACCTATGTGGTAAAGTTAATAAGAATTATAATAAACAAAAGACATTAAACTCCAGGCTTAAGTAGATCTGAGCATTATCACCTAACTCTACGTCAGCTAACGAATAAAAACGAACAAACCAAATTAAATTTACCTAATTTTCTTGAATGTCAATCCAAACTTTTACTTAATATTCAGCTTTATTTTCCCCCTGCCCAGTTTTGAAGAGCCCTTTTGCAGCTCCTGTGTTTCCAAGTGCAGAGATGACAGTGACCAGTTAAAGACCTACCAGCAGTTGGGAATGAAATGCAAATCCAACTCATTGTGATGCCACAGAAAGATAAGGACAGACCAAAGAAAAAAGTGACTTTTAACTCTTCTTCCATCATTTTTATCATCACTAATGATGAATCACTATCAGTTGACGGTGACAGAACCAGTGGGTCATAGGTCAATGTAATCCAAGTTTGTCCTTTATAGGAAAGAATAATGGTAATGAAAGATGGGGCTTTAAATCAGATACCACTTTTAGACTACCATTATAAGAACTGTTTTGGAATCCCCATTCTGTGTAATATTAACAGAACTTTTGTGGTCCAACAGGAAATCTGAATTGCTCTCTGGCCTCAAGGAGTAACTGAGAAAGACAAATTCTTTTAATTCAGCGGGTGCTTTGTATAATGAAAAACCACTTGTGCACAAGGTGGGCATCAGGCACCATCAACTTCTAATATATTGGAAGTTTTCACTTCAAATATATATTTTTAAAAGACTGTATTTTCCAAGGCACGTAACATATTTCTCAAAAATACTTAGCTCTTAAAATAACTTTGTCTCATACACTTGTGTGAAATAGCTAGAAAATCTTGAATTTTCTGTTGTGTTGGGTCCTATTTGGTGTCATGTCAAATGTTTGCTCAATCAAATTTATCAAAGAGACAATTCTAGAATGAAAAAGAAAATCAATTCCTTAACTTTATGAGAAACAAAAGACTATTGCTCTGTGTATAATATGATAAAGAGGAGCTTCAGACGAATGTTCTGCTGAGCAAGCTCTAGAAGATACCATTGTAAAGAAACACAGGAAAGAAAATCGAATGTCAAGGTGGTCAAGGTTTATTGGTAATCATACATTAGCAGAGGATGTACATGGTGAAGCTGATGTTAATGGCAGATAGATGTCTCCATCTATTTCATTTCAAATATGAACATGGCAGGATTAGCCTCTCCTCCTAGTAATTTCCCACAATTTTGCTAAGAATTCTATTGATAGATTTAGAAAAGGAGTTCCAGCAAAAACCAAACAAACCTACATTTGAAGAGGGATGAAAATAAGTGTAAAACTGTATTCATAAAATTTGAATATTAAATAAAAATATATAATCTTTATTGATCTTCAATCAATACACTGGATAAATAGTGGTCAGTGCTAGTGAAGAGACCATTTTTCCATGAGTCATTATTTAGCTTAAACATGGATTATTAGGACTCAAGAATTTCCTTGACAATATAGGAAAGAAAGTGAATCATGTTATTTCCTAATTTTTATTTCTTACATGACTGTTCTACTGGTGTTGCATCTTCATAATTAATCACATTTGAAAGACTTCTAAATGATCCAGTTGGCCTATTGAAGAAGGAAGAAGCAAGAAAAAAGTTTCACTAAATGAACATTTAAACATCAAGTTTGTTGCTAGTTTTGCAGTATATAGTTCAAGAATGTTAGTAAATTGCTTCTGAAATGGAATAAAATATGGCCTCATATTTCTATGAAAATTGTCTCCCCTTGTTTCCTTTCCACTCTTTTATGTATATAGATATTTAGTTTATAAATAAAGCTCTTCCTATCCTTCACTTAGTGTGGCTTTAATAGCCTTTAAAAAAAATCCTCAGAAGGTAATATTGCCTTTTGAAGACTGGGAAATAAAATCCATTCATTTTGAACTCTCGAGTAAAATGTAAAATCCCTTCATTTACACTTCTAGTTTTAGCAAGAAAATCTGAGCCCTGTGCTCAGGTAAGTTCCATCCAGGTAATGAAAAATGCAGTTAATATATTAGGCAAATTGTGACTTTTAATTCCAGGTGTTAAGTCAATCCTATCATGACTTCTATTATGTCCTTTAAAGAAAAGGGTAATCAGTGACTTCCTTGAGGTCTCTAGGGCCTTACTTTTTGAGAAGTGAAAGAGATCTTAGTCACTGCACTTTTATATTTAGAATGATCTGACCTAAGCATAGTGCTATGGGGAAGCTGAGTTTTACTTAAAGTGGTGGGTTAGTTTTTAAATAATTTCAATGAGCTCACAGAGAAATTCTACATTGAATTTAACTATAAGCTGATAAATATCTTCTATTAGTGAATTAAATATGATGATGGAAACATGATTTTAATCCTGTTTTGTTTACAGAGAAATCTAATATTTGCTACTTCAGGATCTTTTTATCACTTGCTAATGACATTGGGAATTTGTTCTAGTGACTCCAGGGAGTTTACAGGGAGATATGCCCTGTATTCTGGAAGTAAGTGACCCAGTCCCATGGTCTTCTCAAGTAGTCCAGGGGTCTCAGTGACTTGGAACGCATAAGTAGGTAAGTACCACTGACAGCTATCAGTGTTCCAAAGAAAAAGAGTCCTTTGTTTATCACCTGTAAAAAAGAGCAAGAACTTTCACTTTATTTGTGCAGTGATTAAAATCTTGCAAGTAGACTTCATTTTTAAATGACATTTTATACAATTTCCTCTTTGTTCTTTAAACTGAAACAGTGATGTAATTGCATGATCACTAGGTGAAGTCCTGCAATATCTGGCAAGGTCAAGAATTTGGATCTTCCTGCCTCCCTCTCTCCCTCTTCTCTCTCTTCCCAGAAACACCTGAATCTATGTGCTCTGTATAAAGAATTCTTAAAAGTTAGCCTTTGTCCAGCCATAAAAAAAATTCACAGTTGAAAAAAAAAAGAACTGTTAACTCTGTCTTGAAAGAAGCCACAAATGATCCAGTCATTGCTCAGACCCTGCACAGTGTCTCTGAGAAGAGTGATGGGTCCAGTGGCCTCTGTGACTTGGAAGACACACATTCAAAGACTTAAACATGTACCTTCACCACCTACAGTCTATCAACCACACGAGCTGAGGCTCAGTCTAGTCTGGGTTGTGTGCACTCTCATATCATCCTGGTCTCTTTCACTGCACTTATTGTCCTGCATTCTAACTGCCTGTCACTGTCTCTTTCGCCTTTGGACTTTTAGTTCCTTGAGGGTAGGGACCTTATTTTATTCACCTCTGTATGAATAAATCTTGATTCATTCCAATCTAGCCTCTAAATCTTTCTAAAATCCACACCTGAGACTATGAGCTGCTTTTTCTTCCTGTTTCCCTCAGAATAATATTCAAGATGTTTCAGGTCCTACTTACTATTCCAGCTCCACCTCTAGCCATTTTCACACATATGTGCTTCTTCCAGGTCCACTGAAATACTTGCCATTCCCATTCTGAATGTGTGAGAGGTTTCTTCAACCTCCATGCCCCCCCCATGCCCATGCCCATTCCCCACCAGGACAGTGCCTCTTCACTGCAGGTGTCCATTTCCCCCACTAGTCTCTGAGCTATGCAAAGGGTAGGGGCTGCTTTATGTTCATCACCATGCCCAGCTCAATGTTTACATACTATTTGTTTAGTGAGTGAAGTTGTAAAGTTTCCACAGTGGAAGATCAGGAATCTGAATCTCCATTTAATGGCATCTGTGAGTCAACTGCCCAAAATTAATGTGAATAGCATTACACTGGAATTAGACTGTGTTTTATAAGTGATTTGATTCTGTCCAGTTTTGTAAATTAAACCCATAGGAGTATTGCATGAAGCAAAAGTCAATTGCTAAATAAAAGTAAAAGGTCGCATTGATAAAATAAAGTAGAAAGTTTAGGAATATTAGCATCAATTTCTTTTTTGAATTTCTTCTTCTCAGGGATTGCCTCTTCTTTGTAATTTTGTTCATTAGGCACTCTGCCACCTGTGTATCCAGGACATTTTTTAATTTGGAAGGCAAACATCTAGTGTCTGTCACATTATTTCCATATTTGCCTGAGGTAAACATAACCATAACACTGTGAACTTCAACACATCAGATTAAAAATAAGTGTAATCTGTTCCAACCTTTTTTTGCCAATGCCAACGCAGCACTGCCTCATGGTATCTTATTCTGGAAAAGGTGACCTGTAAGAAAGTTTAAAAAGTATTCTTGTGTATTCTTTAATGGCTAAACAGAAGATTAAAATGAGGAAAAGTCTTAAATCCAGACCTTACCATGGTGTAAAGAGGGATAAAGGTAGATGGCATAATAGCATGAAGAAATCTCTCTATATTCTTTTGGAAGAGGAACCACCTTGAGTTGACGTGTGCTCGCATCTGCAATAATGTAAGCAGTCTCAAAGAATACCTTGAACAAAGTACCCGAAATTGTTTACTGCAACTTTATCACTCTTTATTCCCATTCACCACAAAGCCAGACTGAAAGTAGTCAAATAAATTCTTATTTCCAATTCTTCTCAGTCATTTCCAATCCTTTTCAGTCAATGTCAGAGAACACTAACTTGAAAAGGTAGAGCAATTATGCAAAACCTGTTAGAGAACTCTATTTTGCGCGAGGGCCAACTCTATTTCAGTAAGAGTTTGTTTGTATGGATCTGTGAGTAGTCTGTGAGCCCAAAGATTTGACTAATTTCTGTTACTTCCTGGTCAGTTTGGAACATTATTTATGGCAAGAAGAGATCTGTTTAAAACTAGGCCTGTCTTGATATACTCCATATTCAGGATAAACATTACGTTGTAGTTGTCTTGTTTTCAAAGACAAGGCAAAATACATCAGTGAGACTTTCAGTATCTTATAGAATTTCCTTCACCACATATGAAACAATTCTGCTCAAGTTGGAGTCTATTTCTTTCTGTCTTCAGGAGAGATGGAAAACAACTATACTCTTTTTAAAATTTTTATCTTGTAAATTTTTTCATTTGATTATTTAAAAACTATAACCACAACCATTTACTGTGAGCTTTTCATGTGACTGGCTTAAAATGGAATTGTGTTTTTCTTCTTAGTAATCTACTGACTATGAATTTCTTTGGTATTACATATGTCTTTCAGTGCAAAAAACCGCAAAGGATATTCAGTGCTAATTTAAGTTTGCAGCTTATAATGTTAAGAATGGAAAGGTTATTTAATGTCTCTTAAATTTTCCAAATATGTTAACTCATATCAAAAATATTTTTTCATTAAAATAGCATATTAGTACCTCTACTAAATGTCTAAGTCTTGAGCCTATGAATTGTCAGATATTGAAACCAGACATTTTGTCTTTTTTGTTACCTCCTAAATGTCCCTGAAATGTTGATGGAGATGATGTGTGTGGGTCATTATCACTGTCTTTATAGTCAAAGTTCAACTATGTGTAAGGAATGCTCTGTGTGTGTGTGTGTGTGTGTGTGTGTGTGTGTGTGTTTTCTCTTGGCACCTATTCTTATGCAGCATGCATGAGACGGGGGTCAAAGAAACATTAAAGCAAAGAATGTTTATTAGAATATCAGTGCATGATCTCATTGAATAGAATCAAACATTCTCACTTGCCTCTATGTAATTGTACATGGATAGGTCTGAAATTGCATGGTCATCTGGAATTCTTAATCTTGAGAATTCAGGAAGGCACATACCTAGAAACCAAGTTAAATAATATATCTTTTCCAAAACAGTCTGTAAACAATGTGCTTGACTCTACACAGTTCAAATGAAATGGTGTATTCTCTATCAATGGTCTCTACTAACCTTTAAAAACTCAGGACAACAAGACTGTATGACCAACAATCTATGAATACTGAGCAATAACACAGGGGCATTTCCCATTGCCTATGATTTAATAAAACTTATGATGAAGTTGTTATAATATATACTAGATTAGTGAATCATTATTTTTATTTCACAAATGGAAAGCAGTTCATATGGACTGTAAATGACCCCAAATCCTTAGAATTTGCTACTCTCCTTTTTGTTCTTTGCTACCCCATATACATTTGTTTCATTTTACCTAAGCCACCTTATTAGCTTAAACATACTCTGTTATTCTGTTATCTCCCAGAGACAGGACTCATGTTATATTCATGTTTGAAAACTTAACCTAGTATATGGTAAACACTGAATAAATATTTGATAAATTAATAACTAACTAATGTAACTTCACAGGGTCAAACAACTCTAGTTTTGAGGAAGCCATTTCTAAAGTCAGAGAACATGGGTGCAAGTCCCAGCTTTACCACTTCTAGCTACTTGACTTTGGGCAAGTTACCTAACCATCTCTAAGCTTAAATTTCCTCAGTTATAAAATAGGGACAAGAATAGTACCCATGCCCCATGTTTTTCATGAGAAAATGTGATAAAAATCAGCAAGATACCCAACACATATTACATGTTCAGTGATGTTAGTTATTATTGTGATAATTATTGTTCTATCTTCATTCTCTTGTAACTAAAACCAGTATTGACAGTATGTTCTGTTATATGAGCCCTCCATCTGTCTCCACCATTGTCATCACATGCTAACGAATCACACAAGGGCTAAGAAGGGAGGAAACAAAATACTTCTGGATCCTGAGCATCTGAGTGAGATAACTGGGAAAGAAAGGAAGAAAACCAGAAGAAATTTAGCCTGGAATCTATAATCTCTTCAGATTCAGACAGCACAGTGTTCACTGACTCCCTATAACACTATATAAAAAAAATTTTACTGTGAACTTACTTTGTTCCAGGCTTTTTTTTTCCTTTTTTTTTCTTGATGTATAGTTGATGTACAATATTATATGAGTTACGGGTGTACAACATAGTGATTCACAATTTTTAAAGGTTATACTCCATTTATAGTTATTATAAAATATTGGCTATATTCCCTGTGTTGTACAATATATCCTTGTAGCTTATTTATTTTATACCTCATAGTTTGTAACTCTTAATCCCCTTCCCCTATCTTGCTCCTCCCCCTACCCTTTTACCCACTGGCAACCACTAGTTTGTAATCTGCGGGTTAGGCTTTTTTTAAAAAAAGCTTTCCACAAATCATTTGATTTAACCTTCACAACTCTCTGAAGTGGTATTATTCCCATTTTATTGATGGAAAAAAAATCTGAGACTTTAAAAAGATAAAGTGACTTGTTCAAGGTCAAAGGGCTAATAAGTCAGCAAGTCAAGATTGGAATCTGGGTGTAGATTCAAAGCTGATTCTCTAAGTCTATCCCTTACCTGAAACAGGTTTAAATTCAGAGGTGACCTTTGAGGACATGTAATGCTGAGAAGCAATAAAAGTTATCCAGTTCTCAGGCTACTATTTGCAATTTCTTTTACAGATAAAAATTATGTACATTTAATTTAACTTACTTTCAGAATTATACATAAAGTTTAAAACTTCAATACTTGTAAAATTAATATATTTCTGGAATTAATTTTAATCAAAAGGCAAATGGAAGTATCAGATGCAAACTTTGATAAGGCAAAAAGCAAGAAAATGCTGGAGCTTCTAAAAGTGTTTCTGAGGGCATACTGTAGGGATTATAGGCATGGGGGTTAACTAGGCTGAGAGGGAGGGAAAGGAGTATATCTCTGCCAAACTTTGGTGCTCGGAACTTTTATCTTTGTATTGATCGATGCATAGACTTCCATGTAAAACTTAAAAGAAACTATCTTTTCCTCTCTGGGTGTTCCTTGTCTGATATGGGCAACAACAGTGGCATAGACTGTTAATAGAAAAGTTTATAATCCTGAACAGGAAATATGCATCATTGTTTGTAATCTTCCAGGATCAGAAATAGGTGTACAATTAATCAGCAAGGCTAGTCCATGTCCAATTGAGAAATTTTACTTACTAAGGTCATTATTGAATTTATCCATTAATTCATCAAATACCAAGCAGTCTTCAAATCCCTAAAACAAGAAAAAATAAACTGTAAATGATAAATACTTCTTAGCAATTTTGAATAGACTTCATTGGTGAGTATAATTCACAGGATGTTTACTCTCAACCAGCACATAACAGCCAAATAGTCACACTTAGCATTGAATTCTGATTAAAAAGACAATTGACTGCATGTTTGATGGTTTTGTTTTTGCCCAATTTACTCATGTATATATATAAAATTTAGAATATGATCAAAATTTTAAATTACTTGTAATTTTGACAATTCCATTGCTTCTTCAAGAAGCAAAAATAATTATATTGTTCTACCATGAGCATTAGAATAATATTTAAACTATTCAGAACTTTAAGATTCACATTTAGAGCAATTTAATGACAGGATAGAACTTTCATATTAACTTACTTTCTATAAGCCAAGATTAAAGCAAATTTCCAATCAACAAATCTACAAAATTAGTAAGATACTATGCTAAATGCAGTAGGGAGAAGAAAATAAAAAGCTATGTTTCCTGCATCCTAGGAATTCAAACTATGGTTTTAAGACAATATAAAAATATATAAAGGTTAAGAAATAAAATATTTCTATATCAATTATACATATCATACCTGAAGCAAATAAATTTGTCAATTATATAGGCTGTTAATGCTATAGGAATTTAGAAATGAGAGATACCATATAGGGATGAGATAACACTCTTAAATTCTTTATTTAATTAATTCATTTATTCCTGGAGAATTCCTATGAGATAGGTATATTAAAATCCGAATTTTACAGATAAGGAAGTAGAGATAAGTTAGTTGCATGAGAACATATTCTAATAAATCATGAAGCCAGGCTTTGAACCAGGGAGTTCTAATTATCCACTATGCTAAAATTGATGTTTCCTTACTGTTTTAAAATTTTAAGTACAATTGACTTACAATATTATATTTATTTCAGGTATACAACATAGTGATTTGATATTTTTATAGATTATACTCCATATAAAGGTATTATAAAATATAGGCTATATACCCTGTGCTGTATATTACATCCTTGCATCTTATTTATTTTATGCCTCATAGTTTGTACCTCTTAATCCCCTTCCTCTATCTTGCCCCTCCCCCTCCCCTTCTACCCACTGGTAACCACTAGTTTGTTCTCTATATCTGTGAGTCTGTTTCTGCTTTGTTATATTTGTTCATTTGTTTTATTTTTTAGATTCTACATATAAGTGAAAACGTACAGAATTTGTCTTTCTTTGTCTGACTTATTTCACTAACCATAATACCATCCAGGTCCATCCACGTTGTTGTAAATGGCAAAATTTCATTCTTTTTTATGGTTGAGTAATATTCTGTTGTATATACATAGAGCTTCTTTATCCATCCATTGTTAATGGACAGTTAGGTTGCTTCCATATCTTGGCTATTGTAAATAATGCTGATATGAACATGGGATGCATATATCTTTTCAAATTAGCATTTTAATTTTCTTTGGATACATACCATGAGTGGAATTTCTGGACCATATGGTAGTTCTATTTTTAATTTTTTGAGGAACCTCCATACTGTTTTCCTTAGTGGCTGCACCAATTTACATTACCACCAACACTACTAGAATTCTCTTTTCTCCACATCCTTGACAACACTTGTTCTTTGTTGTCTTTTTGACAATAGCCATTCTGACAACTATGAGATGATATCCCACAGTGGGTTTGATTTGTACTTCCTTGATGATTAGTGATGTTGAGCATCTTTTCATATGCCTATTGACCATCTGTATATCTTCTTTGGAAAAATGCCTATTCAGGTCTTCTGCCCATTTTTTAAATTGGGTTGTTTGTTTTCTTGACATTGAGTTCCATGTGCTTTTATATATTTTTCATATTAACCCCTTATCAGACATTACATTTGCAAAGATCTCCCATTCAGTAGGTTGTCTTTTCCTTTTGTTGATGGTTTCCTACACTGTGCAAAACTTTTAAGTTTGATTAGGTCTCACTTGTTTATTTTGCTTTTGTTTCTTTTGCTTAAGGAGACAGATCCAAAAAAATATTACTAAGACCTATGTGAAAGCATTTTTTTCTTCTAATAGTTTTATGGTTTCATATCCTACACTTAAATCTTTAATCCATTTTGAGTTCATTTTTGTATATAATATGAGAAAATATTCTAATTTCATTCTTTTACATGTAGCTGTCCAGTTTTTCCAACACCACTTATTGAAGAGACTGTCTTTTCCCCATTGTATATTTTTGCCTCCTTTGCTGTAGATTAACTGACCATATCTGCATGGGTTTATTTCTGGGCTTGCTGTTCCATTGACCTATGTGTCTGTTTTTGTGTCATTACCATACTGTTTTGATGATTATAGCTTTGTAGCATAGTCTGAATTTAGGGTCCATGATACCTCCAGCTTTGTTCTCTCTTCTCAAGATTGCTTTGTCTACTGAGGGTCTTTTGTAGTTCCTTACAAATTTTAGGATTTTTTTCTAGTTCTGTGAAAACTGTCGTGAATATTTTGATAAGAATTGCATTAAGTTTGTAGATTGCTTTGGGTAGTATGGACATTTTAACAATATTAAGTCTTCCAATCTATGAATACAGGATATCTTTCCATTTATTTTTATCATCTTTAATTATCTTTATCAATATCTTATAGTTTTCAGAGTATAAGTCTTTCACCTCCTTGGTTAAATTTATTTCTATGTGTTTTATTATTTTTGGTGCAATTCTAATGGTATTGTTTTCTTGCTTTCACTTTCTAATAGTTCATTATTAGTGCATAGAAAAACAACAGGTTTCTGTATATTAATCTTGTATCCTGCCACTTTACTGAATTCATTTATTAGTTCTAATATTTTTTTGGTGAAGACTTTAGGGTTTTCTATATATAATATGTCATCAGCAAATAGTGACAGTTTTACTTCTTCCTTTCCAATTTGGATGCCTTTTACCTCTTTTACTTGTCTGATTGCTATGGCTAGGACCTCCAATACTATATCAAATAGAAATGGTGAGAGTGGACATCCTTATCTTGTTCCTGATCTTAGAGAAAAAGCTTTCAGCTTTTAACTGCTGAGTATGATGTTATCTGTGAGTTTGTCATAAATGACCTTTATTATGTTGAGATATGCCCCCTCTGTACAAATTTTGTTCAGAGTTTTTATCAGAATGATGTTGAATTTTGTCAAATGCCTTTTCTACATCTATTGAGATGGTCATGTGATTTTTATCTTTTGTTTTGATAATGTGATTTATCACACTGGTTAATTTGCAGATATTGAACCATACTTGTACTGCAGGGATTAATCCCAGTTTATCATAGTTTATGATTCTTTTAATTTATTGTTAAATTTATTTGCTAATATTTTGTTGAGAATTTTTATATCTATATTCATCAGAAAAATTGGTCTGTAATATTCTTTTATTTTGTAGTGTCTTTGTATATTTTGGTATCAGGGTAATGCTGGACTCAGAATTAATTTGGGAGTGTTCCCAAATGTTTGGTAGAATTCATCTGGGAAGTTATTAGTCCTGGTTTTGTTTGTTGAATGTTTTTGATTATTGACTTAGTTTCAATACTAATAATCAGTCAGTTCAGATTATCTATTTCCTCCTGATTCAGTCTTGGAAGATTGTATGTTTCTAGAAATCTATCTGTTTCTCTCATGTTGTCCAATTTGTTGGCATATTCTTAGTATTCTCCTATGATTGTTTGTGTTTCTGTGATAATGGTTATATCTTCTCCTCTTTCATTTATTATTTTGTTTATTTGGATCCTCTCTCTTTTTTTCTTAGTGAGCCTGGGTAAAGGGTTATCTGTTTTTTTGTTTATCTTTTTAAAAAACCAGCCCTTGATTTCATTGATTTTTTCTATTTTTTTTGAAGGGGGTCTCTATTTTATTTATTTCCACTCTGGTCTTTATTATTTCCTTCCTTCTGCTGACTTTGGGTTTTGTTTTTTCTTCTTTTTCTAATTTCTTCAGATAAGATAGGCTGTTTACTTGAGACTTTTCTATTTTCTTGAGGTAGGCCTGAAATGCTATAAACTTCCCTTTTAAAACTGCTTTTGCCATCCTGTAAATAGCTATTAAGTCCACCTGGTCTAATGTGTCATTTAAGGCCACTGTTTCCTTTTAGATTTTCTGTCTGGATGATCTATCCATTAAGGCAAGTGGAGTGTTAAAGTCCTCTACTATTATTGTATTACTGTCAATTTCTCCCTTTATGTCTGTCAATATTCACTTTATATATTTAAGTACTCCTATATTCGATGCATATATGTTTACAATTTTTATAGCCTCTTCCTGTATTGACCCCTTTATCATTATATAATGCCCTTTTTTTCTTTTATTATAGACTTTGTTTTAAAACTTACTTTGTCTGATATGAGTATTGCTACCCAGCTTTCCTTTTGTTTCTATTTGCATGGAATATCTTTTTCCATCCCCTTACTTTCAATCTGTGTGTGTGTCTTTAGCTCTGAAGTGAGTCTCCTGTAGGCAGCAGAGAGATGGATCTTATTTTTTAATCCAATCAGCCACCCTATGTCTTTTGACTGGAGCATTTAATCCAATGACATTTAGTGTGGTTATTAATAGGTATGTACTTATTGCCATTTTATTATTTTTTTTCTGGCAGTTCTTCTTTGTTCTTTTCTTCTTTTAGTCTCTTCCTTTGTGGTTTGATGATTTTCTTTAGTGTTATGTTTGTGTTCCTATCTCTCTAAGTTTTGTGTATCTATTCTAGGTTTTTGATTTGTGGTTACCATGTAGTTCATATATGTTGCCCTAAACTATACCTACTTGTTTTAAACTGATAGACATTTAAGTTCAAAAACATTCTAAAAGATCTACTTTTTTAACTCCTTCCCCATGGTTTGTGTTTTTTATGTCATATTTTACATTTTCAGGCCTATCCTTTAACTGTTTATTGTAATTATACTTGATTTTACAGTTTTTGTCTTTTAATTTTTGTTCTAGCTTTTTTAAGTGGTTGATCCACTGCTTTTACTGTATATTTGCCTTTACCAGTGGGATTTTTCCCTTCTTATTTTTCTTATTACAGCCTTTTCTTTTTTACTTAAAGAAGACGCTTTAACATTTCTTGTAAGGTCGACTTAGTAGTGATGAGCTCTTTTACTTTTTGCTTGTCTGGGAAACTATCTCTCCTTCAATCCTGAACAATAACCTTGCTGGGTAAAATATTCTTAGTTGTAGGTTTTTTCCTTTCAGCACTTTAAACATATCATGCCATTCCCTTCTGGCCTGCAAAGTTGCTGCTGAAAAATCAGCTAATATGATTGCCTATGGGCATTCCCTTGTTTGTGATTCTTTGTTTTGTTCTTGCTGCCTCTAAAATTCTTTCTTTAATTTTGCCATTTTCATTGTCTTGGTGTGGGTCTTTTGGGGTTCATCTTGTTTGGAACTCTCTTTGTTTCCTATACCTGGATATCTGTTTCCTCCTTCAGGTTAGGGAATTTTTCAGCCACAATTTCATCAAATACATTTTCTACCTCATTCTCTCTCTTCTTATTCTGAGACCCCTATAATGTGAATGTTAGTATGTTTGATTGTCTCAGAGGTCTCATTTTTAAGAATTTGTTTTTCTTTTTGCTGTTCTGATTTTGAGATTTTCACTATTCCTTCTTTCAGGTCACATATGCATTCTTCAATATCACCTAATCTGCTGTTGAATCCCCCTAGTGTATTTTTCATTTTAGTTATTATATTCTTTAGCTCCTATTGGTTTTTTCTTATATTTTGTAAATCTCTGTTGAAGTTTTCAATGAGTGATTTTATTCTACTCCCAAGCTGGGTGAGCATCTTTATGACCATTGCTTCAAACACTTTATTAGGTTAATTATTTATCTCTATTTCATGAGGGTATTTTTCAAGGGTTTTACTTTGTTCTTTTGTTTGAAACATATTCCTCCATTTTCTCATTTTGTTTAACTTTCTATGTTTGCCTCTATGAAATTATGTGAAAGTTACCTGTCCTGGTCTTGAAGGCATGTCCTATGATGTCCTATTCAGTCTGCATGTGCCCACTGGCTTTGGTGGGAGAGCTGCATCTGAAGTGAGCATGGGCCACACTTTCCCCTAGGGTATGCTGGCAGCCACCACTTTGGTGGGAAATAGGGCTGGATTCAGAGGGGCTAGAGCCAGATCCAGGTGCAGCCAGGGCTTCTCCTAGGCTCAGTGGCAGTCACTGCCCTATGGGGTAGGGTTTGAGGCTCAAGGGACTGGAGTAGAAGCCCCGAGGGTGGTGGGTCTCTGCTGAGTGTGATGGCAATCTCTGCCTTGGTTGGGGGCATGGCCAGGTTCCTGAGGGCTTTGAGCTGCACTTCTAAACTGGTTCTGCTTTTTCCCCAGGTGTACACAACTTGGTTAGAAGCAGGGTGGGGGCTGGAGGGGTTGGAGCCACACTGCTGAGCTGGTTGCATTCCTTCCCTGGTGTATGCATGCTCATTGGCAATAGCACCCTCCACCTTAGTGGGGAACAGTGCCAGAGTAGGAGGTGCTGGAGCAGGAGCCCAGTGCAGGTTGGGGGGCGCAATAGGGCAGCCCTGGCAGGCAATCCAGAGCAACCAGCAGTTGCCAGTCTGCTGCTTCCATGCTGGGATTGGGAGCAAGCAAGTCTGTGTACATGCTCTTCAGGAGCAGAGTATCAGTTTCTTACTGCCCCCTAGTAAGCCATACTGGTTTTCAAAACAGCTAAGGAGTCTCATTTTCCTGGCCTTGAACCCCAGACCTGGGGTGTCTAATATGTGGCTCAAACTCCTCGGTCCCCAGGGAGGATCCCCAATTCTGTGATATCCCCCTCCTCTTCTGGGTCACACACTAGGGGTGTGTGTCTTGACTAGATCAATTCTCCTCCCCTCCTACCAGACTCCATGTGGTTCTTTATTTACAGCCTTGGTTGTAGAAGAGCTATTCTGCTAGTCTTCAGGTTGTTCACAGTGAGTTTCTCTATGTGTAGCTGTAGTTTTGATGTGTTTGTGGGAGGAGGTGAACTCAGGGTCCTCCTACTCTGCCAACTTGATCCCACCTCTCTTGTTATGTTTTTGTAAAACAAAATGTTTATGACTACTTTGCTCAAAATATAATTGATTAGATTCATAAGCTCTTTATTCTTGGACTATATCCCATTCACCAAAACAATATAAGACTATGGTTATAAAACTATTAGTAATCAAACACACATGCACATAAAATAATTGTTTGTCTAGACAATTATTTTAGAAGTCCTTAAAATTAATGTTCAGTATTTGAACACTATTCATTTTCTGAAATATTTTTTAGCCAGAACGGTAAAATTTCCATGAAAGCAGTAGTATTCAACATCTAGTCTGTTTCATCATTTTATTTAGCTCTATCAATTGTGTTTTCTTTTCCTTTGGAATGAAAAAGCAGAGGGAAAAAAAAAGATAATTTGGGATATCTTTCTTTTTTGATACTAACATTATAATCTCTAGAAAAAATATACTTTAAAAGTTAAGTCTTGAATTGCTGATAGTCAAGTTTCCAAATTTCAAGTCATCAATACATTTTCTAACTGAACAGAAAACTATCTTATGCTTTTTTATACACTAAATTACTGCATCAAGTAATCCAAGAGTTGACTATATTTAGAGATCAATCTAGTTAAATAGCTGGTATGGTTTTTGAGTTGACTGTTTTATCAGAGATTATGTGGGGATAGTTTTAAGCATATTTTTTATTTAAGACTTTTTAGTTGAGACTGACCCAGAGAAATTTAAGGGACTTACCTAAGGAAAAATAACTTACCGCATTCATTCCCTGCCCAAAAAAGGGCACTATGGCATGAGCTGCATCTCCCATCAACACACAGTGTGATTTAAAGTGAAAAGAAGAGCACTTAACGGATATCATGGGCTGGGCGGGCAACAGAAAGAAATCTTGTGCCAGGGTTCGCCTTTAGAGGAAAACAATAAAAATGTTAAGCTTGGTATTAAATATTGTGTAATTCTTTCAGATTTACTGGCTTTGTTAACATAATATTTCATTGAAAAGTATGTGAGAATGCCAGGAAGAAAACAGGAGAGGGAGAACTGAAGTTTCTTCTAGTTCCCAAATTCCACTGTTCTATTTATATTCTTAATTTGCAACAGTTTTAATCACATCCAAAAAGAACAAGTTTAGCTGCATTTGAATAACTTGAAATATGTCTGTGTTATATGTCATGAAAATTTTATTATCAAGCACACAGATCACACAATTTTCAACAACGTTGGAATGTTTTAGGTTTCCTTGGAGAAACTTGAGATGCAGTTGTGCATTTGATTAGCACACAACAAACCAAAATTGTTCATGTGAATCCATGTGTATTTGGAAATGAACAACTGGAATCAAGCTAGTATCTGTTCAAGCATCTACAGAGGTTTTGTGGAAGCTATAGATAGAGAAGTAGTACATATACTAGAGTATCTTAAATCTAGTGGAAGAGGCAAGAAAGAGCCACAGAAGAAGTTCTGAAGCAGCTAAGGGCTAAATTTTGGTGTGCAGAGATTTCCCTTCAAAGTCAGAGAAGGAGAAACCAACACAGGCAATTGAATTGTTCTGCAGGAAAGGGTGAGAACTGACAATTTTTAATAGATCTGCTATGGGTGGGCAGTGGGCTATCCCTTTTACATAATTAGCTCATTCAATTTTCAAAATTGCCCTAAAAGTTAGGTATCCTGATGTCTATTTTAATGATGAAAAATCTTAGACTCAGAGAAGTCAGGGACAAGAGCAGTATTAAAATCTTGCTCTTTCTGCAGTATTGTGCTGCCTCCATGAAGACATCGCTGGAGATAGAAAGTGAGCTGGATTCCAGGATGGAGTGACAGTGGGAGAGAGGCACTGAGTGAGACCAAATGACAAGGTCCATATGAAGGGGAAGTTGATATGGGCCAGAGGAGCTGAGACTGATAAGCCAGACAGCTAATACAATTAGCTATCAATTTGGGGGAACTTTATATGTGCCTGGCCCTGTGCTGAATGATTTATAGGCATGATCCCCTTTACTCCTCACAACAACCCTTTGGCGCAGGTACTACTATTATCACCATTTTACTGTGAGGGGCGTGAGACATAGGAAAGCTTATACAGCTAGCAACTGGTGGACTTGAGATTTGAGGTTGCCAGCTATTTCTGCCTTGACATAGATTTGTGTTCCCACCAGCAGAAGGAAGCACAGACAAGCCCTAAGGGGCCTGAGTGCCTGCTCAGGGTACATAGAAGGTCCAGGGACATTGGTGACTTGTCTTTCCCAAGGAAACAGGCCTGGCCTGGATTTTTTCAGAATTCCTGTTCACAGCACAAGATCCTCTTGGACTTTTGCTGTAATCTAGGCTTCCTGTCCTGGTCACTGCATGATTGGTCATGTTTAACAAAAACGGAAATAAGTGCATTAGCCTTTATTTGAACTTTGAATAACTCAAACCAGTGGGGCAAAAGGCACAATTGCACATCTTGAGACTTACTTTCCAATTAGAGGGATAGAATCCGGAAAGTACTTCTGGAAGAAATTCAGCACATCACTACTAGTTTGCAGTTTTTCAAACTCTTCAAAGGGCATGAACAAAGTACACGTGAAAGATTTGTTCTGTGAGAAGAAGAGGAACAGTGTGAGAGAGATCAGGGGGCCAGGCAATGCTGGTACTAAGGCAGACCCCTAAATCACAGAATGCTTGCTGTGGCTCAGGGGCCTCTGGGAAGAATGTCCAAGCAGACAGGAAAGGCACCCTCTCTTTCTTCCCTCACTCCCAAGGAAAAGCTCCGTCAAGTCCCAAGGTGCTCCCCAGCTTCTTGGTTATCAGGAGAATTTTATACTGTAAACTCCAGATATTTTCACCAAGCAAACATTACACTTCTTAGATTATTAATAGGTTGGTTGGATTTGATTTCTCCTCTTTTTTTTTTCTTTATTGTTGTTCCATTTAAGATGTTATGATATTAAGGCATTGGACCCTAGGACTGTTAATAAGTGAAGAAAACAAAAAGAAAGTAAAAGACCAACCAGAGAACTATCAATAGGTGTATCTGCCTATATTATCTATATATTATTATAGATAATAATAACTATATATATGTATATATTATATATTAATATAGCAAAAAAGTTTCTTTCTAATGAAAGAACAGCCATGCTCTTTTGAGATAACGTATATTCCGATGTTGTCCTACAGATATTAAAGGATGAAAAATACTTCCTAATATATAACGTAAATCTCTTTGGCTTTATTTGGGGACCATTTCTTCCTGTGCTGTCTTGGGGGAGGTGGCAGTCAGGTACCACCACACATAAACCCCCATTAGTCATTCATATATGTTAAATATCTTCTCCAAAGTAAATAATTTGGATTCCTTCAGGTTTTTCCTCAGTATCCCCAGAGTTTCAGATATAATCACTAAATAGACTAAACAATGATGAAGTTGATTACATTCATGCATACAGAGTATGAAAGTAAGTAACGAAAAACGTTAATTATATATGCAAAATGACAGTTGATAAGAAATTTTACACTACCATGTTAGGAAGTGCAATCATCATAAAGGTATCTCTAGGCCAAATATGTAGATAATTAGGTTCCATGGCATACTGCAGGGAAAAAAGGTATATATAATTAGTGTATTAATGTAGCACATCTGCATTAACAAATTAAACACGATGATTCTCTTTATGTTATAATTGTTTCCACAGCAATTTAAATCAGTGTCATATGCATGGTGATGTGCACATCCATTGCTACATAAAGCAGAAGTTTTCTTAGAAAAGACTTTGTGTCCTGTCTTTATAAACTCAGGCTAAGGTGAGTTTTTGATACCATGTATAATTGAAGATTTGAGAACATGCTGTAAGATATTCCTTTTCTCTCTCTCCTCTATTTCCATGGACACACGCACATATATACACATATACAAATATGTATACATACATATATAAAATATATATTATATACACACATAAGCTGTGGATGTGTGTATATATGTGTAATATTTTTCTACTTTATTTTTTACCTTATTTGGGTACTTATTTGTATAAACAGAAAGATCCTAAGTTTAAATTTCATGGACAAAACAAAATTTTACAAACAAGCCTCTTATTGTTTGTTTACTACAACATAAATAATAGAGAGAAATGCTCCCTCTTTAGCAAAGCCACTACAGGGCAATAGCCGCCTGAGTAGGTATGTATGGCTCGGGCACATGAATTGACCCAAAGACCCAAGTGACCCAAACCACTGAGGTTCCCAGGGGTATTACATACGTAAGAATACACAATCCGTTTCCCAACTATTTTAAGTTTGTATTATTTTCTATAAATGTTTAGAGAGCACCTACCATGTATATGTCTTATGGTCATAAAAAGATGACAGAAAGTACATCTTAGTCTCCTAGCTAATATTTTCACACTTTTTTAAAGTTATTTGTGTCTTAGGAGATGAAACTGCTTCTTTCCGGCTTTTTATCCCCAGAGCCCCAAAGAAAGCCCAGTACACAGACAAGGAGATGAATAAGTGAATAACACTTTGACACCAAAGATCTCACAAAGCAGTTGAATAGGCAAGATATATACATATGAAAAGCTCCCAAAAACTTCTCTTTAACAACAACTCAAGTGGTAGCGAGACAAAATGACTTGGTGCCTAGGTAGAAGTTTAGGAAATAAAAACTGGTCAGGTAAGAGGATTGTGTGTCTGGGATGGCTGAAACAAGGGATTGGTAGATTAGATAGCGGTGAAGGACAGTGGCTGCTGGTGAGGGTGAGCATGCTGAGCAACATGGAGGAGGCACAAATGAGCACGGCGCCTTACTGGTAATAGGACACCAGCCTGGATGAGGTGAGCCTCCTTGCTTCCCTCTTGCTATCTTTTGACCTCTTCTACATGGTGTTGATAAAGCAAATACGATACCAAAAACATTTTGATATTCATACATATTTCATGACCCTAGAAAACAACTCTTTAAATTTTCAGGTTCTTTATTTCAAGTCACGCTCTCAATAGATATCCTTGTGCAACAGTGGTCCCAAGGTCAGATTTGTCATAATTCCCATGGGTCTTCTTACTACAAGTCCCTCCACACATAAAGTCTAAGCGAGACAGTTTGCTTGCTGTGCAAAAACAGCTTTGAGATAAGCTCCCACATAATTCCCAAAAGCACTCCCTTAATATTCACCCAGCTCTGTCATTCATCCAATCTCTCCCTCCTACTCCACCTATCAGAGATGGAGTGAAAATGTCCGCTACATTAGAAAAAGAAAAAAGGAAGGAAGAAAAGGAAAAAGAAAAGAAAGGAAGGAAGAAAGAAAAAAGTGGAGAGAAAGTTTCATAGAATTGTTTTTGGGCCATGTCAAAATATTCCCATGTCTGGTCACATTACTATGTCAAAACAGCATTTCTTAAAAGAGTAAAAACTTTCTATAAACCACCAATCATTACTATTAAATAGGAACACCTTGTGAATAAATGGCTATCTTAAATCTACATTAGTAGGCATGATTCCACTCAAACTGGGGACAATTTTTCAACAGAATCCTGTAATCCAGAATTATCAGATCCTGGGTCATTAGAATATGACCCACCTGAAGACCATAAAATATCATTGAAGAATTAATAAATCCATTTTTAACCGGGAGGAAGAAATAGAAAGACAACGAAATGTTAAAATATGGATTTGACTGGCTGATAGTTTAGTATATAAGTGGTATATAATACCACTATCCCAAACTGACAAACTATTTCATAGATGTCTGAACTTCAAATAGTATAGATTAAATCAGTACCTTAAAAATATATATTTTATATGCAAATCAAGTATTTAACTGATGCTGTTTACTTTTCATTACTGATAAGCCGAGATCCTCATTGCTTCTGTTGGTGTTTTAATTTTCCTTATTAAATTCCTACATTTATTTGCTTATGACAATATACAATATACATACTACGTATTTCCCTCCGGCCACATATGGTTTAACATGGGAAGCAGGGAATGAGAAACATGCAATGCAAATCTCTTTGCAACAACTTGCTGTTCACTTTATTTAATAACTTTTGCATTTAATCATGAGTATAAGAACTCTGGATTGTCAGTATACATAGTTGATTCCCAACCCAATTTTTTTCTCCCAAGAGATAATAGAAAAATGCTATTATTGTGTAAGACAAATCCCCTGTGTGTCTCCAATAAGGTAGTTGTAATTCCGCTCCTTTCTTCTATTCAAGAAAACATATCAAAAGGTAAGGGAGTGAGAGTGATATTATTAAAGAGATACCTGTACATCCAATTTATTATTAATTACAAAATACTTGTGGCCTTGATCAAGATATGCTATGAGAACAACTGCACTAGAATATGCTTCTATACTAATACAGGCAGGGGGAGGAGGAGAGCTGTAGAAAGAAGAAAAGAAAGGGAAAGGACTTACCTCCCCATGCTTAGGTGGAATAGTCAATTCCATGAACCCATGAGGAATGTATTGTTGACTGTAATCAAAGCGGGGTTTCTTCATGAGGTGAGTTCTGACAGTGGAATAGGCTCCATCACATCCTACAATGAGGTCACAGGTGACATCTTTGGGAACTTTCTCATGTCTGAAAAATAAAATAAATCGTCATCAAAAAAAAAAAAAAAAGTCTAGTGGTGAAAATGATGAAGTACCTCTATTGGGTATAAAAAGTACTGATTTAATGGGGCCACCACTCACTTTTACCTATCTGATTTAGAGCTTTGAGTGGATAGCTATAAAATGAAGATAACAATTGTCCCAGTCATGTGTTTGCTTATGAGAATGAGGATAACACACAACCATACTGATGAATAAAGACATGCTAGGCCACAGAAGCATGACTAAGAGTTGAGTTCCCTGCATGAAGGAAGAGAACCTTGAAAAGAAAGCAAAGTGTTTCAAATGGAGGGAATGTATGAACAACCACAGGGATGTGACCAGAATCTTCTAGGAGCAACACATTTGTCTTGAACAGAGGGAATCAGAAGATGAATTTAAGAAAAGAATACAATTGGGAAGGGAGGAGAAGAGAATGAATGTTAGGACAAAAGGTTTAAATACATTATTCTGGCAAATGGGAGAAAACAATTTTTTTCCATTGGGGAGATGGTGTATAAAGAGTGGTAATTTAAGATAACATACTTAGGAGTGGAAACATTGCAGTGGAGCCAGAGTGCAGACGGGAAAGAAATGGGGACAAGCTGACTGTAGTAGCCTGCACGTGCGGGGATGAGAGCCCAAGGATTGTGGCGCTCAGGAAGAAGGAAGCCATAGGCTCTGAGGCAAACAGAAAGTATGAATGATTGGTGAATGTTTATAGGTCTAGTGGGAGAAAATAAGGAAAGGGCTACATCAAGGATGATTTTAATCTTTTGGGTAATAGTATTAGGGAAGTCAGGAATGGGAGATGCTTGGTGACAAATAGAGGATCAAGGTTTTAGATGTGTTTGAGATTACGGCAAGTAGTTGTGAAGGTGTTTAATGGGAAATTAATATTGATTAAGATTGAAATAAGGATTGAGAATGAAGAAAAAGGCCTGGCCTGGAGGTGTTAATCATAGAAATGTGAATTTACAAGTAGTTGTTGAATGAACTGTGAATCCATGACATATCCCATGAGTGGGATGTGAGGCTTAGAACTCTAGAGGAAATGGAGTCGGCCAAGGGGAGGCAGACAAATAGTATTCAGAAAGAGGGGAGGAGAAACAGGGCAGCGGAGGGTCATCTGTTTCAAGGGAGGACAGTGTTTGAGGCAGAGTATGATTACTAGTGTACTAGTGTAGAATCAGGAAGAATCACTGGTGCTAGTATTCAGAAGGCATCTAAGACCTATTTTCAATATAAAATTACTTGATTCTAGAAACTATTTGAATTACCCTGTTAGTAATCATTTAATTCTTTCGAAAGAGCCAGAGAACAAAGTTGACAGGTTCAATTCTCCACGTCAACCCTTCACCTCTGAAGTCAAAAGGCTAACTGGTGATTACCCAAGCACTGTGATCATTCTTTCCTCAGGATTACATTTCAACAGCCTGTGGCCAAAGTGCACCTTTGCATTGGGATATTTCTCAACAGCTGAGGAAACAAAGAAAGACAACTAATAGAAAAGAAATTCCAATTCTTATTTCACTTAATCAAATTGAAATATTAATCATTTTCTGAGAACAGTGTGATAGAGATACTTATTCTTACCGATGTAAAAATGAGTTAGATAAAAGGTAATTTGACAACTATTTGGCAAATGTTCCAGGATAATTTGGTAGCAAAAGAGATAAATAAAAATCAACTATCCTCATCTCAAAAAAAAAAAAAAAATCTAATTCCATTATGCAAATTCTTATATACTGTAATTGTTGGCACCCTAGGAAAGAAGCTGTCATCACATATTTTAAAAGTTTTCCCCAATTAAAGGCTTAATTTGTGATCGGAAATATTCAGTCAAACTTCCTTTTTCATACTATGTCTGACTTTATATTTCTTTTTAGCAAGTCCTCTAGACTTCTAGCTCAATTTGTCATAAATATAGATTATTGATACTAATTCTTTTTGTAATCAAACACTGCAACAGTTAGGGGAAAATGAGTAAGAATATTTGAAACTTAATAAGTAGAATCAAATTATTTTAGTGCTTTCTCTGCCTGCTAACAATCTATAGTGTATTTCATTTTCTGAATCATTAATTATGTTCTTATCATAGTAGTAAATTTATTTTTGTTCCTATTAATTCTCATGGGCAGGAGATCTATAATTAGTGGTTATTTATTGTTCTTAAAGCTACAAATCAGAATGCAGGTGTTAGAGCTGGAATAGACCTCAGAGATGATTTATTTCAAAACTCTTCATCTTATAAATGGAATAACCAAGATCCTGGGAGGGAAAGACAATTTGCCTGAGATCATACAAAGTAAAAAAAATTAGGAAAAATAATCCAGAGGTCTGACTTCCGTACTTATCTCTCCTTTTCATCTCGGGTTTTGTCTTTTTTTTGTTCTGCTTTTCTTGAGTTTGATTTGGGGTCTGAAGACTTTAAGATTCTTGGACATGGGATTAGAAGCTTTAGAATATTGAAATCTGAGATAAGCCTAAGACTGATCTATGTTTAAGAAACCTTTTGACAAATAACTTGGAGAAGTCAGAGTTGACCTGAACCACTATGGGTGTCTTTTATCAATACAAACACAAAACGTGTTTGTGGAATCAACCTTTTTGTAAATTAAATTTTATTTTATTTTCAAATTAGATGTATAGTAATACATCCCAAAGAATTTTCCATGGAACACTAGTCCTGTGATATGCTCTCCAAAATAATTGTTCTCTGGTCAGTCATTAGAGAAATGCTCATACTTTGACCCTCCTGGCTGTGCTGTCCTGGTCCCCAGATATATGTGGCTTGAAATGCGGCTGGTCTGAATGGAGATGTGATGTACCCACTGGGTTTTGACAACTTAGTACCAAAAACTAAAAAGAATAAAATGTCTCATGAGTAGCTTTCTTACATTGATTGCACATTGAAATGATAATATTTTAGATATATTAGGTTAAATATACTATTAAAATTAATTTCACCTATTTCTTTTTAGGTTTTCTAATGTGGTTAATATAAAGTTTTAAATTATACATGTGGCTGTCATTTGTGGTCACATCTTAGACAGCATTGCTCTAGAAAATCCACACTGCAGACTAGTAGAATAAAGGCCCTGAGAAGTACTGTAAGAAAAGACTTTTAAAACTAAGTTGATGCAGGGTTTATCAAATTTACCTGACCACATATACTTTTTCTGTTTGTTTTACTTAACAATTATTAATAGCCCACCAAATAGTAAACTATGAAACAATCCTACATGAAAAGCTGATTCAGGGAAATGATTTAGTTACAGTACTTTCAGAGGTGAGGCTCTTCTATTAGAAGGAATGAGCATTTATCTGTGGAATGGGTGGCTCACACATCTGATGCCATGTAAAGGAATAAGAGCTGTGTAAAATAACTTTATATGTCAAACAAACTTTAGGAGTCAAGAGATTCAGCATTCTTTTTATCAACATATTTATGTCATTTATGAAATTGCATGCTGTGCAGTGCTCCCCTAATAAAAAACAGGGGAGCATGCAAGATTGGATCTCCTTATTATTAGCAGGTGTTTCGTATATTATATATAATACTGGAGGCAGTGACTGTAATAGTTAAAAGCATGGACTTTGGAATAGACAGACTCAAGTTCAAATCCAGATTCTACTACTTATTAACAGTATAATATGCTGCTCTTTGGAGCTCTCCAAGCCTCCTTTACCATCTATAAAACTGAGGTAAAAATAATTCCCACTTCACAGAGTTTGGAGGGTTATACAAATTGATGCAATATAAAGCAGTTAACATAGTGCCTGATGCATCAGTGAATATTTTCTATTATTTTTATCAATAAATTCATAGGATACCCTTAAGAGATTATCTTAGGTCCACTATGCTACTTTTTCAAAAAGCTGTTTTGTAGTTTCTTTTCTTAAGATCAACATGAATATATCAAGCAACCTAGCCCACCCCCACCTATCTACTCATCCAAAAGTCAGTCTTACAACTACAAGTAAAGAAATAGAAATAAGAAGAATACTAAGCCCTATTTCTTAAGTACCTGGTGAATCAACTAGAGTGACCTTCCCTATCACTCCTCCTCCCAGTTGAATTCAATTCAACAGATATGTCACAAACTCACCCTGGGTAGGGGACTGAGGAGAAACACAGATAAATCATTGGAACCTCTGCTCTCCAAAAATCCAAAGCTGCTGGAACGCATTGAGGGATTGATTGATTTAAAAGAAAGTAGAAATACTAATGGCATGCTTTGCATGGAATGAATCTGTTTAGTACAAATGCTGAAGAAGAGAAAAAACTATGATAAAGGGCTACATGGAATGTGATTGGATTGATTATCCAAGCTACAAATTTAATTTGCAATCCAGGGAATTTTCAATTAATAGGTAGGTCTTTTTAGTTACATGAGCATCTTCAGGCTTATATACACCTTCCTCCTTCTCAACCTCCTAAACCCTGAATCTGTTTTGTCTCCTACAAATATCTTGAATCTATACCTCCCCCCAACCACTTGGCTATAGCTTTAGTCCAGGGCCTTGTTTTTGCACACAGGGTTTATCATAATACTCTAAAATCTGCAGCCCTCTATCAGCCTTCACACTATTGCTTTTCATCTTTCTGATAAGAAAATCTAATTGTCTCTTTGAAAATTGTTACATCTGTATATCTGTCGTTCCACTAGACCATGAGTTCTTCACTGAGGAGTGAGCACTCATTCAATCCAGTGCCTAGAAAACAATAGGAATTCAATACACGCTGAATAAATGATTTTTATTTAGACCACTGATAAAATGAAAAAGAGATGCTGGAAGATGCATCACCACTACTTTTTTTTTTTTTTTTTTTTTGAGGTACGCGGTATGCATCTGACCAATAGCTTAGAATTTTGTCACTTGTAAAGAGTTGAGGGAGGAGTTCAGAGTGAGGTCATCCCCCCTTCTTTTTTTTTTTTTTTTTTTGCGGTACGCAGTCCTCTCACTGTTGTGGCCTGTCCCGTTGCAGAGCACAGGCTCTGGACGCGCAGGCCCGTCCATGGCTCACGGGCCTAGCCGCTCCGCGGCATGTGGGATCTTCCCGGACCGGGGCACGAACTCGCGTCCCCTGCATCGGCAGGCGAACTCTCAACCACTGCGCCACCAGGGAAACCCTCTACTTCTAAAGAAACACTTTCTATTGTACATGGTCTTGCTCTTAATAACCCCAAAAAAAGGAAGGGTAAACAAATCTCAGTAAATCATGTGACAATCCTTTGTCTCATGTGCTTTACAGAAAGTGACAACTGGTGAATAAAGCACTGGACTTACCAGTCAATAGATCCTTGTTTAGATTTTCTCTGCTTATAGAAAGAATATACTGCAAGAAAAATATAATAGATACTGTTTGTTTCTGAAGAATGGACAAATATTCTTCTATTTTATTCATTCAGCAATAGGAAATATTAATCATTTAGCAGAAGGTTGCAAGCTCTGTTTTATAACCATTTAACTAAGTAACTTTTTTCTATAAACACTTTAATCAAATACATGTTATACAATGTTCACGTTTAAACTTAGGTTCGATACTATAAAAAACAAACCTTTTTCTGGTAGCAAAAACATTATTTTCACTAAGATAGTTTTAACAATCAAACATAAATCTCATATATTCATCTTAGGTCTCCAAATCGAGCTGAGCAAAAAACTTCAGAAATGACAGCACTACTAGAATAAATGTACTATTTCCCAAAGAAACTACTTTGAAAGCCTTCGTTTCGGTGTGAAAGGCTGTGTGTGTGTGTGGTGTGGTTGTGGTGGGGTGAGGGTTGGTAGGAGTAGGTGGACCCCAGCTGGGACATGTGTTGGTTGTTTCTGACTTCATACGGCCAACTGTTCCATGAGGCACGGTCAGAACAGTGCATAGGGCCCATGATATTTTCAGGGATTCATGAAAATATTTTAATTTTAGTTTAGTTAATTTAGTTTAGTTTATTTTAAAATCAGAAGAAAAAATAAATATAATTCATAAGAATGAATCCAGTCTGGATTATATTCAAGATTAATATAATCTTTATATCAATGCACTCATACAATCTAATTTTCAATATTTATTGTTTTATAGAGAAAGGGTCTCACAAAGGCAAAAGTGCCTATCTAGAGCTCATGAAAGTCATAATGCAGTCTTGCAATTCAGGGCAAGGCTATTGCTTTAAAATTTTAAAGCATATAATTTTCCAAATTATGGGACATTACAACATTTAACACAAATATGGTAATTTATTAATCTTCACCTCATTCAAATATAGGCATTTAAAATTAACAGCTAAATCTATACATGGTGTAAAAATAACTTGGTCATGATACAGAAGCGGTGACTGAGGAGGAGCTTCCTGTGTCTTTGCTATAAATTAAAATTAACAGGGATGTCTTCATTCTCTGCCTCATGGTTGTTTCCTAGTCTTCTACATTATTAATCATTGCATTTCCATAGAAACCACACTTGTTATTCAAAGTATATTAGGAAACATTCAAATTATGAAGGCTTATTAATGTGAGGAAAATATTCTTTCCCTTTCAGTTGATTCCTCTCAGGCTTAGTTGGGATAATCTGGGAACTAATAATCTGGGAACCAACAGATATATAAGTCCTGCAGGAAGGTCAGGGAGAGTCCCGGCCTAATCTACTCCATATCTTTGGGCAGTATCTTATTATAACCAAAAGTTAGAGTCACTCACATCAAGCTTCACTTCTCCAATACATATTCTAAAAGGCTTATCTTGTAAAGAATAAGTAAGAATAAGAACAAACAAGTCAAGAACTATAAAGTGGCCCTTGTAACCAAACCTAAAAAAAGTAGGATAATCTCCTTTGGAGAGTCATAAGACAATAGTTGCAGTGCTGACTTTTTCAAATATGCTAGGAAAAAATGTTTACATTCTAGTCCTGAAAGCCTTCAAATGAGAATGTTTTCTAGTAAGGGGGCACCATTTCTGTATTTTGGGTATAGGAGTTTAACAAGAAGAATTGGGGGAACTCTGACCCGCTCTGTATATTGGAGAGTATTTTGATATTTGGCAACTGGGGAGGGAAATGGGAGGCACCAGTAAGACAGTCAGCACAAGGGAGAAAGGGCAGAGAAATAACAGCTGGGGGAGGGAGGCTCAGAGAAGGGGTTATAGAAAGGATTTCAGAGGTCAAACTGTACACACTAGAGATTTATAAATTGTTTGCTGTGCCCTGTGCAAGGTGGACCTTCCATGACCCTCAAGTCTTCAGCATATTCATGTGTATTTTGAGTGAGTGCTTTTTGTGTGGAAAATGGTGAAAATGGTGAGTTTCATGTGTGGCCATCATGGCCAATACTAGAGGAGAGGGAGTGGACACCATGAGTTTCATGTGTGGCCATCATGGCCAATACTAGAGGAGAGGGAGTGGACACCAAGAAGTCCATAGGACAGTAGGTAGGCTCCCTGAGCATTCGAAGAAATCCTGGCATCATGGGGATGGCTTTGCACTTCCACAGTCTGTGGAATCGACCAATTCAAAGCAATTTTATATAGTTCTTAAAAGATAAGGAGACCCCATGTTTGACTCCAGTATAAAGACAGTGATGCAAAGCTATAAATTTAGCATTAACTCAATTGTTAAGAATTGAGAAATGGCAAGATTGATGGGGAAGGATCATTTCCTCCTTCCATATTGAAGGCGCCGAAATAAGAACTCCCACCAACACTTGCAACTTCCTGGGGAGTCATTGGTGATGAAACTGCTCCTCTCTCTCTCTCTCTCTCTCTCTCTCTCTCTCTCTCTCTTTCTCTCTCTGTGAGGGTAAGGAAGTCAATTTTAGCCTCAGGTCCAAGTCACTCTTTTCATCTAGCTTCCCTGTTATTTTTGAACCATATCTTACTCCTTGACCTATTCATACATTATTGGTTCAATCTCTGGGGAAGGGATGGATATGCTGAACTGGACCTCCTCAGCACAATGTTAATCCAAGAGAAAGGTGGGATGACTATTACGAGTCACTCTCATTTCAGGAAAAAGAAATAGTGCAAGTAAGCAGTACTACCAGCACTCCTCTGAGGGCCTCATACACCATGCTCGCTGGCTGTTGTCTGTAAGGAAATCTGTCTTGTTTCTCCCTTGCTGCTGACCTCATGTGATCATGCAGCCTGTTTCTTTCTCCAAGGTGGTTGGAGTCAATGCATCTAAAGCTGCTGATCGCTGTGAGATTCTGTTATTCGAAAGTGTATTTGCAAGTTTTCTCATCATTGGACACACATGACACTTAAAAATTTACATTTTTTAGAAATTTGGTCTCACCCAACATCCCTCCATAGATAGACTGTCATTTGATTGGGACAGTGCTATTTCACTGCCAATTTAAGATTTAAACAAAATGTCTGTTTCAAGCCTCTCTTCTCTGAAAATGAAAGCTTTCCTCCCTCTCTGAACCATATAGCTGAGTGCCCCTGCCATCGCTCGGGTAAGTTCTTTTCACAAGAACTTGATTACTATCTGTCCTCCCCAGGTTGCAAGCTCCTCTCCTGTTCCTCAGCAACTAGCACAGGGCATGGCTAGCATAGCACAGGAGGACAATTATTGCTTCCAGAAAAGATACATTTAGTTAGTATAGTTTATACTTGACTTGCATGTGTAAATCTTACTTGCCTATCAAGAAGAGGAAATTCTTTTCTTTCTTATAGCACCAAGCTCAGTTTGGGGCCAATTAAACAGGACATACTAATTATCTGAAGACATTTATCTGACTATGGATGGTCAGTGGACTTTCTTTCCCTTCCTTCCCCTGCCAGGCTCATGTATTAAGACTCTGTACCTAAGTTTTCATAATGCCAAAATAAGCAGGTTATTATTTCTAAAAAGTCATTAAATAGAAAATTTCAGTCCTTCCTCACTACCTCCCTCATTCCCACTTAGTCGTTGGAATGTTTTACTTTTCAATTACTTTTCAAACGCACACAAAATTTACCATCTTAACCATTTATATATATACAATTCGATGGCATTAAATACATTTACATTGTTGCGCTACTATCAGAACCATCCATCAACAGAACTCTTCATCTTGTAAACCTGAAACTCTGTCCCCATTAAATAATAGCTCCCCATTCCTCCCTTTCTCCAGGCCCTGTCAACCACCATTCTACTTTCTCTTTCTATGAATATAACTACTCTAGATACCTTACATAAGCAGAATTATATAGTACTTAACATTTTGTGACTGGCTTATTTAACTTAGTTTATCTAAGGTTTATCTATGTTGTAGAATATCAGAACTTCCTTCTTTTTGAAGGCTGAATGGTATTCCTTTTTATGTTGTATAGAAAACCTACACCTCTGCTGTGTGTCTCTCCTTTACTCTCATACTATTACCACACTCACCACACTTCTGACACCATATACATGTGGGAGTTTTCCTCAAACCAAGCAATTCTCTGCAACTCCAGCTGGGCACCCTACAATTTATTCTGACACTACTAACTTGGAGATGGCATCAGATTCCACAGGTTAAAAGCTCAGCCCTACAAGACCATTCCCCTCCACACGCCAATTGCAAATGCAGTTTGTCACCTGTGCTTCTGACTAATCAGCTATAAATCAGAAGTTCCCATGATCCCCTCTTCAAGTTCAATCAATTTGCTAGAGTGGCTCACAGAATTCAGGGAAACAGGTTACTTACATTTACCAGTTTATTATAAAAGAATATGATAAAGGATACAGATGAACATCTAGGTGGAAGAGATGCATAGGATAAAGTATGTATTTGCCATCTCTGGGTGTGCCACTCTCCCAGTACCTCCATGTGTTCATGAACCTGGAAGCTCTCTGGACCCCATACTTTTGGGATTTTTATGGAGGATTTATCATGTAGGCATGATGGATAATTAACTCCATTTCCAGCCCCTCTCCCCTCTCTGGAGAATGGGGGTTGGGTCTGAAAGTTCCAAGCTTCTAATCATGAGTTGGTCTTTCTGGTGACCAGTCCCCATCCAGGAGTCCATCCAGAGTTACCTGGAAAGACACTGCTGTCACCCAGGAAATTCCAAGGGATTTAGAAACTGTGTAAGCAACCAAAGACCAAATATTAGAACAAAAGATGCTCCTAGTGTTTTTATCACTTAGGAGATTACAAGGGTTTTAGGAGCCTTATGTCAGGAACCAGTGCAGAGACCTGTATGTATTTTTTCTATTATCTCACATAAGTATATACCACATTTTGTTTATCTATCCATCCAGCAATGGACATTTTGGTTGCTTTCACTTGTTGACTACTGAGAATAATGCTGCTATGACCATGGGTGTTCAAATATCTCTGCCAGACCCTGCTTTCAGTTCTTTTGAATATATACCTAGAAGTGGAATTGCTGAATCATATGGTAGTTCTATTTTTAATTTTTTGAGGAACCACCACACTGTTTTCCACAGTAGATGCACCAATTTACATTCTCACCCACAGGGTACAAGGTTCCTATTTCTCCACATCCTCACCAACACTTATTTTTTGATAGTAGCCATCCTAATGAGTATGAGGTGCTTCAGCTTCTTTAATCAGCACAAGATCCACAAAGACCTTACTCCCATGAGCATATGTGCTTTATTTCTTGCTACCCAAAGTGTGGTCTGTGGACCTGCAGCATGGACACCACCTGGGTGAATTTGGTTTGCAGAACCTCAGCCTCCACCCCAGCCCTACAGAATCAGACTCTGTATTTTAACAAGATCCCAGGTGAGTCTGAGAAGTGCTGTTCTACCTACAATGGACGCTCTGCAGAGGATCAGAGACTCAGCAGAATATGAACCTCACTTGGGCTCTGCAAAATGAGGCATTGCTGGATAGAGCAAGCTGGGGTTTTTCTATGGTTGATAGATTTACGGTACATTCATTCTCTCTCTCAAAGAAATAAACACAGAAAGAAAGTGTAATCAGATAAAAATACTTTGCCCAACTCTGTACATTACTATTTCAAAGATAAAAAGAAAAACACAAAGCAGGATAATGGATTTTCTTTAACACTACATCATCATCTGGCCTCTGTTTGAGAAATTATACAATGCTGAAAGCATTTCCAGTTCATTCTATAAATTCTATTATAACTAGAATAACAATAATTTGAGGCAAGAGAGTCAGGGGGAGGCAATAGCATCATAAAACTTAAGTTTGCATAGCATTGTTCTTGCATAGTATGCTTAACAATAAATACATGGTAATCTCTATCTAGTTGAAAGGAGTTAGGAGGGAAAGGGCATCCCAGGCCAGTATGAGCGAAGCATAGAGGCATAAAACAGCCTAATAGCAATAACAATAATAACCATTATTGAATGGTTATTAGGGACTGGGCATCTCCCTAACTGGGCATCCCTTTCTAAGCATCTCATATGAATTAACTAGTATCTGTTCTTGCATTCTAAACAGGCAAGCAATGTCAAAGATAGGGTTAGAGAAGAAAGGCAGGGCCAACAAGCAAGTAGCAGGTGCCAGACATTAGACTCAGTTAATACCATTTTACAAAAAAAGTATCTCCAGGTAAACCTACCTGTGACTTTGTCCCATAGGGAATTGCAGACTTTTTTCCTGAAAGAGAGTGAATCATTCTTGCTCTCATGGGGATACCTTGGGCTACAATCTGAAATAAAATCAGAAATATCAATTTCACTTTCCATAATGTGGCATCATGCAAATAAGATAGATACTGATTTTAAAATGTGATTATTCAAGTATTTTCCAAAAATCAAAAAATGTAAAGGTCCATGAGAACACAGTATGGTAGAAAATCAATAAAAACTATGTTCCTGCAAATTTTACTTTTTAGGTTTTTTTTAACCTTTAGATTTTAGAATAGACATCAAGTTTATTTGGTCTAAATCAAATATTACAAGCGAAGAGATGGTTCATTGTCAGAGAGATTAAATAATTTTTCTCATGATCACAAAAGAGAGTAATGCATGAGGAGTAAATCCCAGGGTTCCTGAAATCCAGTGCAAAGTGCTTTCCTACACATGCCTAAGAAAAATGTGGAAATGCAAATGGAAGTTATATTGACTTATATATCATTTCAAAGACACACTGTTGCAAAAGTACTATCAATAAAAATATATATTATTTCTCTTCACATTTCCAAGATACATGATAGTGAGAAGTTTGGCAACATTGAATCCATATAAGGAAAATCTGCAACAGGCACACAATCCAAACACTGAGAGCTCATTGGTTTCAGAATTCAGAAGTTTTCAAATTTTAGATAGGCAATGTAGTGCATATGTGGTTATTATATGACACGCAGAGGAGTCTAGGGCACTGCCCCATAACACAATATTTCTTTAGTAAAACACATTCACACAAAATGAGATTTTTTTTAAAAAGGCTATAAAAAGCCTCACATCAGGTCAAGTTTGCTGCTGAGCGGGTGATGAAAATGCTTTCTCGTCCCAGAACTTCTGGAGTACAGAGCTGTGGATAAGAGATTGTGGACCTAAGTAGTCAAAAGAACAGAGTTCACCTGCCTCTTCTCACCCTGGATGCCATCTCAGATCACACTTCTGTAGGCAGAGGTTCACGATACTGTTGAGAGCCCAGTGTCAGAAGTGATGATCAAGTTCCCATCTGATACAGTATCTGCCTGCCCCACAACCTGCTCCGGTCCCCCCAGGTGCCTCAAGTGTGAAATGTTCACCCTGTTGTGAAATTTAGAAGTTTGAAAACCTTTGTAAAATGAGCTCTCATGCAGAGATTTTTTTGGCATTAAGTGGTGCTTTGAACTAGGAGAAATCAAGATCGTGCAGTTGTTGAAAAACAGCAGATGTTATTTTCTACAAGGAAAATGCATTAACAAAGTACCTGATCTTCCAGGTCAATGGATTTCAAGGCTTGTCGTCCTCTATAAGAAAGGGCCAAATTAATGCTTCTTCCACGTGCAAATTTAGTCACTCGGATATCTAAGATATTGGAAGTAAACCCCATGTTACACACACTTTCTTATACCCTAATACAGGATGAGCATAGAGCACCTGAAAAACTGGTGCCATCTGGACCAAATTAAAAGACCTTGTTAACTCTTTGAAAGAAAACACAGATAGTAATATATTTGCATTAAATTAAATTTAGATAGTTGAGGTTTTTAATGAAATCTAACAGTGCATCTTTTAAAGTTTTTTTCTTTTTAAAATCTAAGGAGTTGCCAACAAACAAATGAAAGGATGCTCAACATCACTAATCATTAGAGAAATGCAAATCAAAACTACAATGAGGTTTCACCTCACACTGGTCAGAATGGCCATCATCAAAAAATCTATAAACAGTAAATGCTGGAGAGGGTGTGGAGAAAAGGGAACCCTCTTGCACTGTTGGTAGGAATGTAAATGATATAGCCACTATGGGAAACAGTATGCAGGTTCTTTAAAAAACTAAAAATAGAACTACTATATGACCCAGCAATCCTACAACTGGGCATATACACTGAGAAAACCATAATTCAAAAAGAGACATGTAGGGGCTTCTCTGGTGGCACAGTGGTTGGGAGTCCGCCTGCCAATGCAGGGGACACGGGTTTGAGCCCTGGTCTGGGAAGATCCCACATGCCGTGGAGCAACTGGGCCCGTGAGCCACAACTACTGAGCCTGTGCCTCTGAAGCCTGTGTTCCACAACAAGAGAGGCCACGATAGTGAGAGGTCCGCACACTGTGATGAAGAGTGGCCCTCGCTTGCCACAACTAGAGAAGGCCCTTGCACAGAAACGAAGACCCAACCCAGCCATAAAATAAATAAATAAATAATTTTTTTAAAAAAAGAGAGAGAGACATGTACCACAATGTTCACTGTAGCTCTATTTACAATAGCCAGGACATGGAAGCAACCTAAGTGTCCATTGACAGATGAATGGATAAAGAAGATGTGGCACATATATACAATGGAATATTACTCAGCCATAAAAAGAAATGAAATTGAGCTACTTGTAATGAGGTGGATAGACCTAGAGTCTGTCATACAGAGTGAAATAAGTCAGAAAGAGAAAGACAAATACGGTATGCTAACACATATATATGGAATTTAAGGGGAAAAAAATGCTATGAAGAACCTAGGGGTAAAACAGGAATAAAGACACAGACCTACTGGAGAACGGACTTGAGGATATGGGGAGGGGGAAGGGTGAGCTGTGATAGGGCAAGAGAGAGACATGGACATATATATACTAACAAACGTAAGGTAGATAGCCAGTGGGAAGCAGCGGCATGGCACAGGGATACCGGTTCGGTGCTATGTGACCGCCTGGAGGGGTGGGACGGGAGGGTGGGAGGGAGGGAGACAAAGAGGGAAGAGAGATGGGAACATATGTATATGTATAACTGATTCACTTTGTTATAAAGCAGAAACTAACACACCATTGTAAAGCAATTATACCACAATAAAGATGTTAAAAAAAAAAAAGATGTGGTACATGTACGCAATGGAATATTACTCAGCCATAAAAAGAAATGAAGTTGAGTTATTTGCAGTGAGGTGGATGGACCTAGAGACTGTCATACAGAGTGAAGTAAGTCAGAAAGAAAAACAAATACCGTATGCAAACACATATATATGGAATCTAAAAAAAAAATGGTTCTGAAGAACCTAGGGGCAAGACAGGAATAAAGATGCAGATGTAGAGAATGGACTTGAGGACACGGGGAGGGGGAAGGGTAAGCTGGGAAGAAGTGAGAGAGTGGCATGGACATATATACACTACCAAATGTAAAACAGATAGCTAGTGGGAAGCAGCTGCATAGCACAGGGAGATCAGCTCGGTGCTTTGTGACCACCTACAGGGGTGGGGTAGGGAGGGTGGGAGGGAGATGCAAGAGGGAGGGGATATGGGGATATATGTATATGTAAAGCTGATTCACTTTGTTATTAAGCAGAACTAACACACCATTGTAAAGCAATTATACTCCAATAACGATGTTAAAAAAATAAAGAAAAAAAATGTAAGGTGGAAGAAGTCAAAGAATCAGAACAACATCTTACATTATTCAGTATTGTCTTACCTTCTCTAGCTTCATATACATTAACTTGGAAATTCCTCTTGGCAAGGAAGCATGCATTTAATGATCCCACCTAGGAATCAAAGCAATTTTTTTCGTATTTTTATCTGATTCCGCAAATACAGGGAATTTTGCTGGCTAAATGCAACATCATGTGTGGTCATAGCCTCAGTCATCACACTGATTTACTCAATCACTACAGGAAAATACCATTTGCAAAAATAATGGGATTAACTCAACATTAAGCGGTATAATTTTCAAGGAAGTTTTGGTTTCTCTTTTTTTTTTACTTTTGTATGATGAGATATAACTTTCATACAGAACAATCATAAACCATGTGTACTGTTTACAGAATAATTAGAAAGCGAACACCCATATAACCACTCTGATCAAAAAGTAGAACATTGCCAATCTCCTATAGCTCCCCCAAACTCCTCCCCAGTTACAATCCCCAAACTTTCACCTAGTGGTAAACGTTCTGACTTTTGTGATAACGTCTTTGCTTCTTTATAGTTTTACCACTTAGTTATACCTCCCTAGGCAATATAAGTTAATTTTGTCTGCTTTTGAATCAGATAGTTAGAATCACACTTGTGTATTTTTTTTGCAGATGCTTCTTTAACTCAATAATATGCTGATGAGATCCATCCATATGATCTCGCATAAAATCCATTTTCATTGCTGTATGATTCTTCATTATGTGAAATCTCACGGACTATTTAACCATTTTACTGTTGAAGGACATTTGAGTTTTTCTGTCCTGAGAATATTATTTTTTCCAGTTTTATTGAGATCTAATTGATATATAAATTGTATAAATTTAAGGTATACAGCGTAATGGTTTGATACATGTGTATACTGTGAATTGATGGCCTGGGTTAATTAACAATGCTGCAAAGAACATTTCTGTACATGTATCCTGGTACACATGTGCATGACTTTTCTCTAGGGTTTTACACACAGAAGTGGAATCCCTGGTCAAAGGCTTATGTATCTTCACCTTTATTATGCCAAACTGTTTCAAAATTTTATAATGTGTTTTCCTACAAGCAGCTTCTGAGAGTTCATCTTTGCCAGCATTTGGTGTTCTCAAACTTTTAAACATAGTAGTTGTTGGGTAAGGTGAGGAGGAGTATAGGTTTAATTTACATAAATAAATAGTTATTAATAAAGAGATTGAACACTTTTTCATATATTGATTTTCTATTTGCACCTCTTCTCTTGTAAAGTGGCTGTCTTGCCCATTTTCAGTTGAGTTGTCTGTTTTTTCTTCTATCGATCATTTGAGCTATTCAGAGATCTGAGTACAGGGTCTGTCATTTTTAAATGTTGCAAATATCTTCTTCCATTCTGTAGCTTGCTTTTTAAACTATATAGTATCTTTAATGATGAGAATCTATTTTAATGTAGTCACATTTAAGAATCTTTTACATTATTGTTAATGCATTTGGTATCCTGCTTAAGAAATCTTTC